GCGCGCTTGCTCGCCCCTGGTGGCGGCGCGCGGTGCCCGCGCGGGCGGCGCCCATGACGGCGGCGGCGGCGGCGGCGTCCGCTTGTTCCAGGAGTTGCTCGACTCGGTGCCAGTCGCGTTCGGCGACCAGTCCTATGACGTCGCGTGTGCACAGGGCGGCCATGTCGAGGAGTCTCTGCCGATTCGGTCTCGCACATGGCGCGCGTTCGCCGGCGGATCCGCGGCTGCGTCACAGAGCGGGCTGCGGGCAGGGAGGGTCGGCGGCGGCAGCCGTGCACCAGTCCGCGGGTTGCCTGGGTAGACCAACGCGCCGTCGCGCTGCAGGATCTCCGCTACGTCGGCGGGCCGGGGCGTCCCAGAGGTGCACCAGGATTCCGAGGGGAACCAGCTGCCGTTCCAGCGGTTGGCCTGAAACTCTTGGAGCCAATGCGGATATGCCGGGAGGCCCATGACAAGCGGCACGCGCTTTGACGTTGTAGCGTCGGGGCGGAATGCGAACATACCGAGACGGGCTTCATCGCTTCATCAGTCCTCAAGCGAATAACTGGGCGCGCGGCGGGGCAACTGTCGCACTTGGCGGACCAGCCGCCCCTCAGCACTACCCGCCCCATCCTGTCGTCGTCGGTACGGCGGGCAAGGATCATCGTGCCAATTGTGATCGGGTCGTGGGCTCCGACTTGGGTCAAGAGCAAATCCTGGATCGCGCTGGCGCCGGTGGGCTTGCTGACAGCGCGGCGGGCTGGGAGCGGCTTCTTCGCGCGGTCGCCTTCGGCGGGCAGACGGGCTTCGTCGAGCGCGCGAAGGACGGGAGGCGGCCGACCGGAACCGCGTCGTCGGGGACGGCGAAACCGCGCTCGGCCAGGCATCCCCCGAAGCACTTGGCGCAGTACCAGCGGCAGCCCCTGCCAGCCCGATAAGCGGCCAGTCCGCAGTTGGCCAAGGTGAGTCTCTGTCGCGGCTCGCCAGGGCTCCGTCGCCAGCTTGAAAAGGCCCTCTTCCGCACCCCTTTGTCCTCGCACCAGATTAGCGCTACGTCCTTGTCTGGGTGGAACCGAGCGTCGTCTTCCCTATGGACAGCCGGGTTCAGGGCAACGCCAGATGGGGGATCGGCCAGGCGAGCTGAATGGATGCACGCCACTGGATATTCCTCCTCCGAGGTACTGGAGCTGGCGCCGCGCCTGCCCCGTTGGCAGGAGCCCTGTCTCGTCTCCTGCGAATTCGATCGAGAAGGTGCAGATGGCGCACTCGTGCTCCGCCAGAGCGGTCAGGTCGGCGGGTAGCACCAGAGTCTCGAGCACCGCGAGCGGAGCGGGAGTCTGGAACGGGACCCGCTGCATCTCCGCCCAGGTAGCCGGGCACCCCATGCCCTCCTCGACCGCAGCGAGCCTGGACACCTGCTTGATCAGCGCCTCCAGCCGCGCGTGGAGCGCGCGGAAGTCGTCGGCGATGCCGCGCGCCGCCCGGAAGCAGTCCCGGACCCGCAGCTGGGCAGGGTTGCGCGGGATGCACATGCCGAGAACAGCCTCCAGCACGTCTCCGATCGGGCCAAGCTTGGCGCATGGGGCCACAGGGGGCCTCGGCTCGCGGACCACGAGGAGCATCATGGCCAGGGAGTTCCTCGCCCAGGCGCTGGGCAGCGGTTGTCTGTCAGGTCCTAAGAAGGGCTGCCTGAGCGGCGCGGGCTAGCGGCCGTGGGTCTGCAGCAGGACGGCGAGGTAGCTGGCGTCGGGCGGGGAGCCGTGCCAGGGGCAGGCGCGCGCGGTGCTACTCCAAGCGGCCAGCGGCGCCTGCGGGGAGCGTTAGCGAGGACTGTGCTCTCCTGCCGTGATTGCCACTTGCTCCGGCGCGTAACTCGTGGCTCTTCGGCGAGCCGGCGCCCAGGGACGAAATGGGCGTCTTGGCGCGTGGGTCGCCGGCCGGCCACGTAAGCGAGGCGCGCCCAGGTTGCCGCGTAAACGTAGTTGGTCGGGTCGACCCTCAGCTCAAGATCAAAATGGTAACCGTCGTGGCTGACCAGCTCGCGGCAACGCTCGCGAGTGTTGGCTCGGGCGCCCCCCAGACCGCACAGGTGAGGGCGCAGGCCCAGGACGTAGTAGAGGACCAGGAAGAAAGCCGGGTCTCCCAAGGGCGGCAGAGGCGGCGACCAGGTCGTCAACCAGCCCGCCCCAATCGAAAGTGTCCAGGAGCGGGGTGTCGTAGACGGTGGCAAAGCCCAGGGCATGCTGCTCTGGTGCCTTCTGCATTTGCCTGAACTAAGCCTTGAGCTTGCCTTCGGCTAGTATCGCCTGCGTCTCCTCGGGGCTGGCTGCGCTGTCTGCCCATCCGTTCTGGAGCTGCCGGGGGTCGAAGGCTGCGTGTTCGTCGAGCCTGTACCCGGTTCCTGCGGACTCTTCATGCACGTATGAAATCCAGGCGCCTGCGTCCAGGGCCCAAGCAGCGAGCGTGTTGAACTGGGCCTCGCCGGCTGCCTTGCACATCTTGCCGTTCATGACGACGATGAGGCCTTCCTGGGTTCTTGTCATGGCGACGTTGATGCGTCGGGCGTCGTCCATGAACCCCCACTCGTTGGCTGGGTTCGCACGGGCAGTGCAGAAAATAACCAACGCTGCCTCGTCACCTTGGCACCCGTCGACGGTGCTGATGGTGATGAGGTTCTGGGCGAAGAGATCTGGGCACCGCGCTTCGAGCCCGGGGAAGGCGAGCAGGAGTCCGTTCTGCTGTAGCGGTCGCTGGCGGTAATTATGTGGACTCGCCAGGGTCCGGGGAGCCGCCTCTGCCTCCGCGAGGTGCGCTGGGGGCGTTGACCCTTTGCCAGTGGACTTGCCCTTGCGCCGGCCGTGATTTGCGTCGAGGAAGGCGCCAGGACGGAGCGGGCGGCCGTGGCGCAGCGCCACCACGCTGACACGGTAGCCTGTGACGACGAGGACCTTCTTGCTGCGAGCGCTCAGGTCAGGGGCAGCTGCGGCAACCAGGTCGCACACAACTGCAACCTCCCTGATCTTCGCCGTGCCTCTTCCACGTGGTTGCAGGAGACTCCGGCGGAGTCAGAGTGGAAGAGAGAATTCGAACACACACTCTGCCTCCAACTTCGGAGCATGCGCAACCCACCCGATGCGTGCCACCCCCAACCATTCGTGTCAACAAAACAAGACAGAATACACTTCGGGGCAAAGTCTGGAGTCATGGTCGTGAAGCCCGCTAGCATGTTGTATTGTTTGTTGCCAGGGATGGCGGGTGTGTCGGCATATTGCCTGCTGTGCGCAGGGCTACCATCCCTCGCAAAAAAAAACATACAAAATGCACCTCGCGGCTAAATCTGGAACATGCGCGGCCACCCCGCGATCACTGCCAGCTGGTTTTCGACAGAGACTGCGGGGGCGGTGGCGTATGGCCTGCTGAGCGCAGGCCCACCAGACACAATGATGGGCATTGGTTTTCGACAAGGATGGTGGGACCGACATGTTTCCCAATGTGTGCTGTCACGTGCGCAGGCGCACCTGACACACTTTGCACGCGCCCCGAACGTGGCGCACCTGCCGCGGCTGAAGTATGCGGCACACCAAGCGCGCGGAGGCACGTGGCGCATCTGGTGCACCAGGCGTGCCTGGCACGCTCGGGCCTCAGGGGTGCCTGGCGCGCGTGGCGCGCCTGGCACGCGAGGCGCACCTCGCCCCAGCGTCGCGCAAATGGGCTCGGCTTTGGTTCCTAATCACCCTTCTCATGTTTCTGATCCTTTGCCGCCATCGCCTCCTGCTCCTCCTCCTCCTCCTCCTCCTCCTCCTCCTCCTCCTCCTCCTCCTCCTCCTCCTCCTCCTCCTCACGTTCGGCCATTGGCCTCCTCCTCCTCCTCCTCCTCCTCCTCCTCCTCCTCCTCCTCCTCCTCCTCCTCCTCCTCCTCCTCCTCACTTTCAGCCCTGGGGCCCCCTGGCCGGGAGGACAAACGACACCCTGGCGCGCCTGCAACCGCCGCGCAAAACCGCCGCCCCCGCTGGGGAAGAGAGCCGCCCGACCGCAAACACAGGGCTGCTCTCGGCAATGACTTCCGCGGTGCTGCCCAGGTTGTCGAGGAAGACGCCCTCGATGAGGAGTTTGTACCTCGCGGGCGCGCGGGCTGGTCACACGCAAGAGTGACCCTCGGCAGGGGCGCATGGCAAGCAGAGGGCTGCTCTCAACAAACGCCCCAGATGATCGTCGAAACCCATCGAAAATCCATCGATTATCGATCACCGATAGTCGGAGAAAAAATGAGATACAACAACAAAACGCCATCGATAATCATCAAAACCACTCGAAAATAGCCCAGCGGGTCCAAGAAAACGACCCCGAGAATCAGAGAATTGCTCGGGTGCCCCCCGCCTCTCGCGCGCCGCCCTGGAGGCCCCCTGGGGACCTCTCGGCCACGTGGTGGGGGGGGGTTCTGGAGGCGGTGGGGGGGGGGACCTCCTCCTCCTCCTCCTCCTCCTCCTCCTCCTCCTCCTCCTCCGCCTCCTCCTCCTCCTCCTCCTCCTCCTCCTCCTCCTTCTCCTCCTCCTCCTCCTCCTCCTCCTCCTCCCCCTCCTCCTCCTCCTCCTCCTCCCCCTCCTCCTCCTCCTCCTCCTCCCCCTCCTCCTCCTCCTCCTCCTCCTCCTCCTCCTCCTCCTCCTCCTCCTCCAGCCGTTTTGCGCTCAAGCCATTGAGCGTTGCAGGTGCAGGATTCAAAACGGCACTTCGTGCCTGCGAGTCATTCAGCTTCGGAGAGGGCCGTTCCCTCACACGTTCATAATCATTTCGCCGCCATGGGGAAGGGCGGCTATGGCAAGCGCGGCCCTGGAGGTCAGGGAGACAAGGGCGGCAAGGGTGGCAAGAGCTTCCCTTCGGCGGCCGCCCTCGAGCGGGAGATCGCGCTGTTCGACGGTGGCGGCTCGCCTCCTCCTCCTTGGGCTGCACGCATTCCTGGGCTGCAACAAGATGCTCCTCCAGCCCTCTGGACATGCTCGGCTTGCGGCTGCAGGAAGAACGAGATGCGCTGGTCTCGCTGCAAGCATTGTGGCTCTCAGTGGACCCCGTTCCAGCCATACACGCCCTCCTCCTTCGGCACGCCTGGTGGAGTCTGGTCAGCTGGCTTCAGCGGCAACCTGCCGTTCTCCCCTTTTGCTGCTGCTCAAGGGCCTCCAGGCACCTTCGCGCCCGGCGACAATGGTGGTGGCAAAGGTGGCAAGTCACCAGGCGGTCCAGTCAAGCCAGAGACCCTTCTCTCTCGAGAAGAGCATGCGTCTTTGGCGGAGTTGCTGGCCAAGGCTGGCGACGCGCTGGGAGCGGCCAAGCATCGTGAGCTGGCCAAGCCACCACCTGCGGCCAAGGAGCCCACCCTGCAGCACCAGGTCTCCATGGCCCACAGCAAGCTGCGCGGCCTCGAGCGGAAGTTGCAGGGCGCTGTTCAGAGGTACGAGGAGCGGTCGGCGCAGATGGTGGAGCAGCGTGCATTGGTCACCAAGTTCACTGAGGAATGCGAGCAAGCCGACGTTGAGCATCGTCGACTTGTGGCCGCACTTCATGCTCAGACGTCAGCGGCCGACTTGCAGAATGAGCCAGTGGACAAAGCCGTGCCATGTTCGCTGTCTTCGATCATGGACGGGTCCTTCACTGACAAGCTGGTCATCGACCCCTCGGAGCTGCTCGGTGGCGTCGAGGATTTCGAGCTCTCGGAGGCCGACAAGGAGGAGCTCGAGAAGAGGGGCAACCAGCTGCGAGAGGGCATCCAAAAGTTGGCACAGCGTCTTTTCGCGCAGGCCTCCGAGACTGCCAAGAAGATCCAGGAGGCACACAAGGAGCATCTCGGACGCCTGGCCAAGAAGAGGAAGACTGACGAAGGTGCAGCTCCTGGCGCTGACGGAGGTGGTGATGCTGAGGCAGCCGCAGCCGATTCTGCCACTGGTCCAGCGGCAGCAGCAGCGCAGCCTCCGGAGGTGGATGCTGAAGCTACCGCTTCTGCTGCTCTACGCCAGCGGGCCGCCAAGATCATTCAGCATGGGCAGCCTGAACAAGACCCTCCCCTGCTGTCGCGTGAGCTTCAGCAGGGGGGCCTTCATCGTGAACACGTTCAACCCAGCGGCACGCTCACCTGCCCAGCCTGGCACATGTTCTCTCCGTTCCCCTCGGCAGGGGACTTTAATGCTCTGGGCCTCGGCCTTGCACCTTGGGCCGGAGACGAGAGTTGCCCAGGCTGGCAAGCAGAGCCCGCACCCGCTGAAGCTGCAGTCGACGCTCGCCCTCGTGGGTACCTTCAGCCTGCTGCTGACGGAGTAGGGCAGTCTTTTTCTTTCGGAGCCGTGGACCTCGAGGCCTCCGTTCCTCTTGTGCTGCATCCTGGATCCCTGGATTTTTTCTGGGGTTGTCTGGGCATGCCGTCTTGCCGTGGGAACCTCCAGGAAACGTTCGTTAAAACTGGAGGATCCCTCGAGCAGTGCCCACTTTTTGCTCGAAGCAGCTTGGAATCTTTGGTCAGGACGCTCCCCCAGCCTCTGGGGGCACCCGTTTTCGGGTCTGGTGAGCTTGGCGCCACCAGGGCACCATCTGGCTCGGCCTTAGTGTGCAGTCTCAGCTCTTTTGCCTTTCGGCGTTCCCGCTGGACCCCTCCCCATGTGAAGCGACCGTCTGCCTTTAAGAGATCGCACTCGTCGCTCAGTGGTGCCGTCAAGCACACCCTTTGGAGGGCCAAGCGAGTTCTTGCCTCTGGCATTGCCAGCTTTGCACGAGCTGTTCACAGTGCTGCCTCTTGCGAGGCGCATTTTTTCGGGTTTGCCAACCCGTGTGATGAATATCCAGTGCTCGTTGACCTGCAGCCGAGCAGTCCTGTTGAGTTTTTCAGCGGCCCCTCGGATCCTTCGGTGAGTTTCGTCGCCTCGGGTTCCCCTGAGGCCTCTGGAGGCCACTGCTCGGCCCTTCTGGACAGTCTTGAGATTTGCATCCACACGGTGAATTGCAACCGATGGTCGACCATGAAGGAGCTCATGGCCAAGACTCCTGCGCACATTATCTTGTGTCAGGAGCACAGGATGCGAGAGGAGGAAGATCTCTCACAAGCCTCGGCGTGGTGTGCTCGCCAAGGGTGGAAAGGCATCTTTACCGCGGCCCACGGCACCGCTTCTGGTTCCACGTCTGCTGGCACTTGCATCCTTGTCAGAGACTTTCTCGGCCTTCATGAGCCCCCTGGGGGGGCGGTGGTTGCTGTTGGCAGGGCGACTGCTGGCATAGTGCACCTCCCGCGAGGTGATCGTTTCGCTCTCTGCTCGGTTTATCTCCATCACTCTGAAGGGTTGTCTGAGCGTAATGTCGATCTCCTGGCCATTATTGGGGAACGTATGTCGTCCCTTTCTCTTCCGTTCTGTATTGGAGGGGATTACAACATGGATCCAGGCACTTTAGCCAGTTCGAAGTTCGCCGAGAAGTTGGTGGGGCTGCCTGTGGTGGCCGAGGGCCACGCTCATTTTGGCGAGGGCCCTCCGTCCTCCCTGGACCACTTTGTGTTTTCGGGGGGTCTTGGTAAAACGGTCAAGAGCTGTGAGGTCGTCCAGGACACTACCTTGAGCCCCCACAGGCCGGTGCAAGTTGTGTTGCATGCTTCGTTCGGCAAGTTGAAAGGTCTCAGCTTCAGGAAGCCCCCTCCTCTCCCTGCCACGGCTGTGATAGGACCGCGTCCTGCTCCCCCTGACTGGAGTCTTGTGCGTGAGCTTGCTGACCAGGCCTCCCACTGTGTTGCTGTTGGTGACGCTAGGGGCGCATCGTCGCTTCTTTCGCCTTGCTATGCTGCCTGGGCTGACAAAGCCGAGGCTGAGCTTGTGCCGATTTTGGGACAGTCTGTCCCCTGTCTTGGTTCGAGATCCAAGGGCCCTCAGCTTGTTTGGAAGAAGCTTGTCGGTCGTGATCATGCTATTCGGGATCCTGAACATCATGCTGTGCGGTGGCTCAGCGTCCAATATCGGGCCCTAGCTTCGCTCCTGGATTCGAACCAAGGCGATACTCCTCAGGCGAAGTCGCTGACGACGCTGCTACAGGAGCCTCCGCAACATTTTGAGGTTTCTGCTGCTCTTCGGCCTCTCTTTGAAGAGGTTGCCCGTGCTGTCGCCAAGCCTTGTCGGGATCTCTTTGGGGGTAGGTGTTACGACGTGGCTCTTCGGGGCAAAATTGACGTTGCGGTCAGCAATGCTCAGTCTGCTGCCAAGAAGAGATCCCGACAAAGTTGGCAAGCTTGGATTCGCGCTGGCCTGGATGAGGGAGCGAAAAGAGTTCACATGTTTACCAGGGACCCGTCCCCTTGGAAGGCCACCACCACCCTTTCAGCTGATGGCACCATTGTGTCTGATCCCCTGGCGCTTTTGGCTTCGGAAGGTTTCAAGTTTGCCGCCTTTTGGGGCCAGGGCTCTGGAGCCTCTAGGGACCCCCCGTCTCTTGGTCCGACTCTGCCGAGAGTTTCGGCCGACGAAATTAGGGAAGTCTCCAAGAAATGCAAGAGGGGTTCAGCGGTTGCCTACGATGGCTTCAGTTGTCGTCACTTCCAGTACTTGTGTGATGATGCGTTGAACTCGCTCGCTGTCTTGTTTGAAGTTATGGAAGCGCTCGGTGAGTTGCCCGAGCAGATTTCTGCCGTGCTGCTCGCGCTTCTCTCGAAGCCCACTGGCGGCTACAGGCCTATAGGGGTGTTCTGCTCCTGGTACAGGGTGTGGGGGAAGCTGCGGCGCCCCTTCGCCCTCGCCTGGGAGCAAGAACGCCCCCGTAGGTACTGGGCTGCTGGTGGGCATCGAGGTGCTGCTGACGTCGTTTGGAGGCAGTCTGTTCGGGCTGAGCATGGCACAGCGTCGAATGAGGTTTCGTGCAGTGTGTTCTATGATATGCTTAAGTATTACGAGACCATTGACCTTGTCAAGTTGATGCCCCAATGTCAGAGACACGGTTTTCCCTCCCCGATTGCTCGCCTTTGCATCTTTGCCTTTCGGTGTGGCCGTTTCCTTTCCCTGGGTGGCATCCTCACGGGCCCCTTTTTTGTCGAACGAGGGGTGGTGGCGGGCTGCAGCTTCGCCACCGCCCTCATCAGGGTCTTTGCCCTCGACGCGTTCGGCTCGATTCCCTTGTCCCCCAGATGTGACCTGGACATTTACATCGACGATTCGGGGATTTCTGCGACGGGCCCTCGTCACCGTGTTATTGCCTCTATTGTCTCCAGCTCGCAGGCCTTGCACACGGCTGTGACCGACATGCTTGGCTGCAGTTTCGCCCTGTCCAAAGTGTGCACGGTCTCCTCTAATAGGGCGGTGGCCAGAGAGGTTGGCAAGCAGCTTGGCAGTCTGGCAGGCAGGATCGAGGATGTTACTGTCAACTTAGGTGTGGACTACACGGCGGGCAAGTCCATTCGTGCCTCTGGTCGGGCTAGCAAGCTCAAGTCGAGGCTGGCTACTATGTGCCGTCGAGCTAAGAGGCTCAAGAGGCTTTCAGGTGACCTTGGGAGAAAAACTCTTCGGGTGTTTTCCTCGGGCCCTCTTGCGGGCGGCTCCTACGGGGCCGACATTGTGGGTGTTTCCGACCACGACCTGTTATTGATGCGGAGACAAGCCTTCTCGACTGTGCGGCCGTTTTCTCAGGGCAGGAGTCTCACTGCCTGCTGTATTTTAGCTGGAGATCCCACCTGGAGGGCGGCCTGCGCGCCTGTGCTTAGGTGGGGAAAAGAAATATGGCTTGCTCAGACTAAGGTCTTCCCGCACTCCCTGGCCCTCAAGGAGCTTAGAGATTCTTGGAATGCCGTCTGGGGCCTTAGCAGGATCAGTTGGGGTCTTGTCGGGGGTCCTGTCTCTGCCCTTAGGCTTAGCCTGGTCAGGTTAGGGTGGCATATGGACAACTTCATGACCATTATTGATGACAGAGGGTACCACATCCCCCTCGGAGTGACCTCCCCTGCTCTTTTGTGTATTTTTTTGTCGGGAAGGTATGATCAGAGCTCTGGAAAGGGATTTGGGTTGCAAATGGTCGTCTGGAGGCCGCCTCTGCTTGGATGTCCCCCGAGCTGCTCTGGCGTCTAGCAAGCTTACTGCCAGTGAAAAAGGCATGGTGCGAGCTCTGGCGTGTAACGCCATCTGGACTCCTGATCGTGCCATTGCCTGTGGATATCAAGTTTGTTCTAAGTGCGTCCATTGCGGTGCGGCAGATTCGCTGCACCACCGTCTGTGGGTATGCCCACATGTGAGCGATCAGAGAGCGGAGCTTGCTAAGGACTGGATCATTGCTGCTGCCCTAGACACTGAGGCTGAGGACTACTCGGACCTCCTTTTCTGCTTCGGGGCTTTCGCCCATCCCGCCGATACCCTTCCGAGGCCCTGCCTCGAAGGTAATGTGGTGTTCCGCTGGCATCGTGATCTGCTCGAGGGCCCCGAAGGCTTCGAGGCTCCCCAGGAAGGTGCTGTCTGGGGTTCGCTGTTTCTCGACGGGTCTTGCAGGCGGCACATAATTCGTGAACTTAGCCGTGCGTCGTGGGCCATCACGATGCACAATGACAGCGGGGACCTTTTAGGGGAGGTTATGGGGCCTGTGTGGGCTCAATACCCTCAGACCCCGCAGGCTGGTGAATATTTAGCGCGTGGCATGGCTGGTAATATGGCCAAGTACCCTTCCACCCTGTTCTCAGATTGCTTGAATGTGGTTAAGCATTCTAAGTTGCCTCCTGTCGAGCGCCTCTCGGGTAAGAGGGTGTACAGTGGCATAATCGTGGAAGCCAATGCTCGAGAAGGCACGTGCATTAAGGATATTGTCAAGGTCGCTGCTCACAAAGATTTAGATAAAGCTGGTATCGACCAGTTTGAACGGTTTTGTCGCAAATGCAATAACGATGCAGACGCGGCGGCCAAAGCTGCGCTTTCGTTTCATGCGACTGATGTTAATGACAGTGAAGATCTCTGCAAGAAGATTGACATTGCCAAATCAGTGTGTCGACTGGGGGCCAAGCTTCTTTTAGAGTGGCCCCGTCTTGACTTATCTGATGCCGAATACATTCCGCCTGCCCCCAAGCCCAGGTTTTCCTGGGACAAGCCTGGGCACGACTGGGCCCCTTGGTCTGGTGTGTGGCGTTGTCGTGTTTGTTTGCTGGGTTCCAGGGCGTCTGGTGTCCCTGATCCTGGTATATGCACGGGCAGGTGCAAGCTTGATGAAGGTGTGCTTGTTTCACTGCGACATCGTGTTTTGGCTTTCTCCTGCAGTGACGGTTCGCATCTTTTTGTTTGCGTGAAATGCCGCTACCACAGCACAGGTGCACGTGTGGACGGCCTCGGGAAGTTTTGTAACGATCGGCCCTCCAGGCATGCTGAGTATTCTTGGAGGGACCTCTGCCGAGGAGTACATCCGAACCCCAGGAAGCGGGATGTGACGGTGAACGCTCACCAGATCTGTGCTCTGTTTGGTTCTCAGGCCGAGGAGCCTTCCTCGTGCAGCAGGGCCGTTGCGGCCCCAGGTGGGAACCATTCGGTGGAGGAGGAGGCGGTCCCTGCTTCCTCGGTCGAGCCTCCCCCCCCCTCGGAGGAGGAGGTCCGTCAGGCCCGTCAGGCCCGAGAGCTCAGCGTCTCTTCTAAGTCCTTCCGCCTTCTTGAAGCCGCTCGGAGAGGCGGTGAGGGAAGGAGGGACCTGGATGCTGAGTCGGGTTCTTCTGACTAATTTTATCCTGCCACCTTCGTGGCTTTACCTCCTTGCCTCAGTGGCATGGTGGACGCAGCAGCGATTTCCAAGCCGTCGCTGCTGACAGTGAGAGGCTGTGCGGGCGTTGAGCTAAAAAAAAATCCTTCCCCTGCTCCTCCCGCCTTCCCCTGCTCCTCCTCCCGTCCCCCCCTTCTTGTCCTGCTGCTGCTGCAGCTCCGCCAGGGGCTCTTCGGCCTCCCCCCCCCGTGCCGCGAGGCCGCCGACGGCTTCCTGGCGCTGCACTTCGCTGCGCAGGGGGGGCACCTGGAGGCGGTCTGCGCCCGCCCGCCTTCGCCCAAGCTGCCGCCGTCGTCCTCGTCCTCGTCCCCTCCTCCCCCTCCTCCCCCTCCTCCTGCTCCTCCTCCCCCTCCTCCTGCTCCTCCTCCTCCTCCTGCTTCTCCTCCTCCTCCTCCTCCTCCTCCTCCTCCTCCTCCTCCTCCTCCTCCTCTGCAGTTACTCAATATGAATACTACTCTCCCTCTTCCCCTGATGGACGTCTGGGAATATTCGCCCCCCCCCCCCCCCCCCCCCCCGCGCACTGTTTCTTACACACAGGTTTCCCCGGAGTTGGGTTTTCGCTTGCATTTTTTTCCAAAACGCTGCTCTCGCTGAGGCGCCCGCCTCATTTTCGGGCCCCGCTCGTTCCGAATCGTGCTCCCGCTGCAGCGCTGGCATCATTTCCGCCGGCGCCCGGGCTGCACGCCCGAGCCGGCGCCCGGGCCGGCGCCCGGGCCGGGTCCGGAGCTGGTTCCGGCCGGCGCCGGAAAATCGAGTTCCGAGGATGCGCCGGATAAAGGCCATTCCAATACAAATTGTTTTCTAGAAAATGCTGAATTTCTTCTTCCGGCGCCCGGGAGGCCTCCCGGGCCGATTCCGACGTCCAGGCTGGCGCCCGAGCCGGCTCCCAGGCTGGACGCCCGAGCCGGCGCCCGGGCCGGCGCCCGGGCCGGGTCCGGAGCTGGTTCCGGCCGGCGCCGGAAAATCGAGTTCCGAGGATGCGCCGAATAAAGGCCATTCCAATACAAATTGTTCTTTAGAAAATGCTGAATTTCTGCTTCTGGCGCCCGGAAGCCTTCCCTGGAGTTAGGTTTTCGCTTGCAATTTTTCCCAAAATGCTGCTCTCGCTGAGGCGCCGGCCTCATTCTCGGGCCCCGCTCGTTCCGAATCGTGCTCTCGCTGCAGCGCTGGCCTCATTTCCGTGCTTCCGCTCGTTCCGAATCGTGCTCCCGCTGCAGCGTTGGCCTCATTTCCGCGCTTCCGCCTGTTTCGACTCGTGCTCTCGCTGCAGCGCTGGCGTCATTTCCCGTGCCATGCCACGGCATGCAATGCAATGCTAGGTTGATGCTACGCTTCGCGGTGCTCTTCTACGCCATGCCAGGCTGTGCTCTACAATGCATCGCGTACCCTTTCGGGATCACTGCCCTGCTTGACATCCGACTGTGCGAGTAGAGAGGGGATCTGCGCCATGGTAAGGGATGGGAGGGAGGGGTAGGATGTCAGATATGACGCGAGCGCACCGAGCTTGCCTCCTCCCCCTCTCCCTCTCCCTCTCCCTCCCCCTCCCCCTCCTGCTCCTCCTCCTCCTCCTCCTCTTCCTCCTCCCCCCCTCCTCCCCCTCCTGGCCAGTCTCGGTCGTTACTGTACGCGTGGAGTGACCTCTGCACGAGCCGAGTGTCTCGGCAGGATCTCCAGGGGCGTGGCCGAAGGTGGTAAATGCGGCCAAGAAGCGCGCACGATGCCACCATGTGTAATTCATTCGCGTTGTGTAGGTACTCGTTCCCCACGCAGTGCTTGCATTCAGGAGCTCTAACTTCCCTTCCAAGGAGGTGGTCCCGTCCGTTGGCCCTGCGGCTCCGTTCCCGTCCGTCGCCGCATTCATTTTTCCCATCCAAAGCCTTCTTGTTCTCATCAGGCCTCTTCCTCCTTCTCCTCCTATTTCTTTCTGCTTTTGTCTGTCGCTACCCCCCCATTCGCATCGCAAGTTACATTCCTTTGCCGTGCTTTGCATTACTTGCAGTGCCTTGCATCGCATTACGTTGCTTTGTACTCCTGTGCATTGCAGCACCTGGATTGCACCGCCTAGATTGCACCTCGTTGATTGCGCCACCTACAGGCTCGGAAAGGCTTTCTTCAAACGCCGCCACACGCGCCGATGCCGATTCACAGCGTCTTGGGAATGTCCACGCCCATTCAGCCCGTCATTTTGTAGCGCAGTCGCGCTGTAGGTGGACCACACTGGGTTTTCATTGCGCACAGTGCCATTAATTTTGTTTTACGCACCCACCACAAGCGGAACCAGGCCCAAGCCAGGCCAAACCAAGGCCAAACTAGGCAATGTGTGAGGACGTCTCAGGCGAAACCGCGCCGAAACCATGGCCTAACTAGGCACAGTTTGAGGACGTCTCAAGCACAACCGAGCCCAAACCAAGCCAAACCAGAAACCAGGCAGATGTTGAGGATGTCTCAGGCAAGGCGCGCGGCCAAACCAGGCCAAACCAGGGGCCAAACCAGGTAGATTTTGAGGACGTTCCAAGCAGACTCGCCCAGGCCCCCCAAAGGGCGGAAGCTCGTTTAGAATTTCGTAGGGGGGGACGACCGCGCGTCCGCTGATGCGGACGGGTTTGGGCGCAGACGCCTTCATTTGTCCGGCTCAACAGGACCCCGAACGAAATTTCGGTGAATCTTGTTATGTTCAGAGTTGCGTATATTTTTTTTGCTCGATGCCGTTTTTGCGCGTCTTTTCCCGCTGGCGTTGTGGGATGCTTTTCGCGATGTCGCCGCGCATGGTCTGGCCCCGACTCGCTTGGGCCCCGTTGAAGCGACTGCCATGCTGGCGCTTCAAAAAGAAACAACGCGGCCTTCTGAAAGATGCCCCGAACTATTGCAGTTTCACATCGCCGAATCTTTAGCGAAAGTTCGGAAACTTGTCTTCTGTCTTGTTCTTTGCAGTGCGGGGCGCCATTCGGGTCGTCGACGGGCAAGATTCGGAGCCTGGGCTCTGCGCGATTCGGAGCCCCATTCGGGGCGTCGACGGGCAAGATTCGGAGCAGGTGCGCGGCCGCCGCAAGCGTCTGGTCAACCTCCACCATCCCGCTGCAGGATCTTTCTGGCGCAGCGCCCGTTTGGACGGGAGATCCGCAGCCGACCTTCAGGAGACACCGCCGTCCCCCGCGGGGGAACCACTGGCTGCCCCAGCGCGAAGCGCCTCGAATATGCTAGCACGAAGTCCGAGAGCAAAGCATGCGCGCACGCTTTGCATGCGCCGTACTCTCACGATCCATTGCTCGTGGAGGGGGGCACGGGGAGGGGCAGGCAGCGAACGGTGGCACTACACACGCCCCGCCTGCCGAACACGGACGCACACCCCTACCCCTTCAGACACATTGCACCCTCACCTTCACCATGGGCCCTTGCCATCGCTCGAGCTGCTGCTGCTGGTGCTGCTGCTGCTCCAACTGGGACTGGGCGAGACTTCCACGTGGTTGGGCGGCTTCGGCGCTTTCTTCACCTCGCGGTCCTCTGGCTCTGCTGGACGAGCTGCCTGGGGACCCCCTTGCACGGCCCATACACTTCGGGGGTAGGTGTGCTCGCTCATGCCCTTCTTCGCCATGGGCTCACCCATGAGCTTCTTCAAGCTGTTGACCATCACGCTGGTGGACGGCATCTGCTGGCGGCGAATGCTGGACGTCACGCTCGTGTGGCCCTTTTCGCCGGCCTCCTTGTTCAACTTCTTCGGCTTCTTCTAGGCGGACTGGTCCTCGACGTGCGGGATGCTTGTGTCGTCGTCGTCGCCGTCGCCGTCGTTGTCGTCGTCGTCGTCGTCGTCGCCGTCGCCGTCGCCGTCGCCGTCGCCGTCGCCGTCGCCGTCGCCGTCGCCGTCGCCGTCGTCGTCGTCGTCGTCGTCGTCGTCGTCTGGCAAGAAGGCTCGCGTGGCCCTCAGCTCTGCGCCAGGAGCAGCCGCGCAAGCGGCAGGCTGCAGCGAGCGTTGCGGCGGCGGCTTCGTCGCCCACGGCGGCGGGGGCCCACGCCAGGGCGGTGTCCGCGAACGCGCGCGGGGCGCTCTCCGCGGGGGCGTCGGCGGCGCGCGCACGCCAGGAGCCTTCGCGCTCCTGGCCCAGCCAACCTCCACCGCGGAGAGCCGCTTCAGCGGCCCTGTGCGGCCCGCTTCCAGGCTCGGGTCGCCATCGCCATCGCCAAGCTGGGCAAGACCGAACCCCGTCCCAGCGGCGCGCCGGGAACGAGGGGAGATGGCTGAGGAGGAGGAGGAGGAGGAGGAGGAGGAGGAGGAGGAGGAGGAGGAGGAGGAGGAGGAGGAGGAGGAGGTCTCTTCTTTTCCATTCTCTCTTGAGGTTACGGGAAGGAGGCCTCCTCTTTTCCTCCATTCTCTTGAGGTTATGTTTCATGATGTTGATGTGATGCCTCTCCTGTCTTCTCCTCCTTCTCCTCCTCCTCCTCCTCCTCCTCCTCCTCCTCCTCCTCCCTGTCTGTCTACTTTGACGTGTCGCTCTACTTTTATATTCAATTCCCCCAGGGCTGGCTTTTGGACAGTCTTGGGGAAGCGGCAGTGTGCGGAGCACAGCAATGCCAGCAGGAAATCAGGAGGAGGAGGAGGACAAAGGCGGATGGGCAACGAAGGCGGAAGGCGGACGAGGCGCATGTCCCTCTCCCATCCTTTCCCCTCCTGCTCCGCGCCTCCTCCCGCAGGTGCTCCGCGCGCTCGTGCGGCACGTCGGCTCCAAGGGCGAGCACGGGGCGATCAAGAGGCGGGCCCCTCGGGTGAGGGAGCGGGGAGGCGCCGAGCGGAGCGGGCGGCCGGCTCTGGTGGGGTCTTCCTCCTGCGCGAGGGGGGGGTGGGCGTGGTGTGCCCTCTGGCGACCCTCCGCACCGCAGCCGAGCAGCGGGGACACTTCGCCCGTCCTCTCTTTTGCCCAACCTTCCCACGGCCCGCCCCTCGAGTGGCCAGTGGGGGCGCCTGTTCCTCAAGCAGGCCCACCTAGCGTCAGCCCAAGGCGTTCTTCTGTTCCGCCCGGCTGCAGAGAGCAGCGCGCCGCTCTGCAAGCGCCCCTGATTTCCACTCGCCACAATCCGATGCTAGATCGCCTTCGATATCATCCCGTCCCCAGGCACATCAACCGGGTCGTGCACAAGGGCAAGAAGTCCGCTCTGCACCTTGCGGTTCTGAAGGACGGTTGGCCGCACCGTTTGGCTTGCTCTGGCTGGGCGTTGCCGAAATGTCGGCCGCGGTTCAGTGACCGCATCCGTTCGTTCATTGTTCCCAGACTATCCAGGTCTGGGATTTTTGCAATCTTACTGTTTTGTTCGAAGTGCGGCAGGTTTGCTACTCTTGATGGCAGACATCTCGAGGCAGAGTGCGGGCCAATCACTCGTTTTAGTGCGGGCCAATCTCGAGTCGAGGGGATCTAGCTCGTTTTAGTAGAGGGCTTTAACCGAGGCGGGAAGATTTGCCTGCGCAGTCGCAAGCTGTGTTTTGGTCTCCTTCGTCTGAGGCACTACATCGGACCACTGGTGCTGCTCTGCTTTGCTCTGCTTTGCTCTGCTCTGCTCTGCTCTGCTCTGCTTCTCTCCTCTCCTCACGACATCAAGGCAGACGTCGAGACAACTGCACAGTCAAAACAAGGATGAGGAGCACAGGAGGAGGAGGAGGAGAAGGAGGAGGAGGAGGGGGAGGGGTAGGAGGAGGGAGGAGGCCCCTCCTTCTCCTGCAGCTTCACATCCCTGGTGATGAGCTCGTGGCCAACACGTCGCATGATGAGCCGCCCCTCGGGAGTGGATGACGAAGCGGATGCCTGGCACCACGTGCGCCAGCAGCGGGATCCGGCGAAGACCTCCGCCTCCCCATCCTCCGAGCCTCTGGTAGGGCGGGACGTCCTGGTGGTTGCAGCTCACAGTTCGCACGGCGTGCAGGTTACGGCGCGACAGGATCACAGAGATGCGCGGCCAGGACGTAAGGTCCTTGATTCGGCGAAGGGAAAACACCATGTCCATAACAGTCGAAGGGCCGCGCGGATCACTCGGACCAGCGCTGACCCCCTCCTGGCTTCGCCTCTGGCGTCGCCGCTGGCGCGCTCCGCGCGCCGCTGGGAAGTGGGGTCCGGCGCCGATCCAAGAAGCCTGCGCGGACTTTCGCAAGCTTATGCTTCTGCAGCGGTTGACTTTCTCTCTGTGGGGCGCCACAGCCGAAACAACTTTTGAGCGGGAATGGCCAGCAGCAGTGGCTAAGTACTCGAGGATGGGCCCGACGATGCAGGGACGAGTGGGGTGCCCCTGAAGAATCAGGAGGAAAAGAAACACACACACAGACACAATTAATCCTCGATTCCCCAGAAAATAGGGGGAAATATGGGAAGTGGGGCGGAAGACAGAAGCCCAGAAAACATGGGAAAATATGGGGAATCCTTTTATTTGTGTGTATTTGTTTGTGTGTCCCAGGGCCCCTCCAAAGAACGCCTCCCTCGTCCTGGGGACCCTGCTCGGCTGCAGCCCCGCGCAGGAGCGGGAGGGAGAGCGCGAGCCGGGGCCCGCCGCCGAGAGGCGGGGGCAGCCGCCGAGAGGCGCGGGGAGTGCCCTCGGCCTCCGTGCCCGGGCGCGGTGGGCGTCGGCCCCGCGGCCCCCCCGCACTCTCCAGCCGCGGCGCTGGCAGTGGCTCAGCGGGGGCGGAAAAGAGGGGGGTGATGACTAGGGGGGGGTGGATATCATGGCGGGGGCCATGATATCTCCCCAGATTTCATGGCGCCTCTTCTTGTTTCATTACGTCCATGGCCCCCCCCGCTGGGCCGCGCACATGCCGCCGGTCATGATTTGCACCCCCCTCTTGGACACCCCCCTCTCGGCCGCTCCCGAGCTCAGCGCGCGGTGGCCCAGGACGGGCTGCGCAACTGCGAGGTGGTCGGCGGACGCCGCCCTCGGCCGAGGGGCCTCCCCCGAGATCCCGGCGCCGCGGTTCCTCTGCGCAGCGGGCGCTCTCGCCCTGCTTTTCGGGCCCCGGGGCCCTCGCAAGGCGGTCGGGCTCGACACTCGCTGCGGGCAGCTGGGCTCCGGGGATCCGGTCGCGATCTTTGCGATGCTGCAGTTTCTTCGCGGCGTCGGGCGCTCGGCGGAAGCGCGGCGGCGCGACGCCCGGTGGCCGGGCGGGCCGAACGGGTTCTCACGGCGCCCGGCCCCTGTCGGGCCGCACGACAGGGCAGGACGACAGGGCAGGAGAGGGATGGGGGGGGGGGCACTCCGTTTGCTGCGTGCAGCTGGTTTCGGTCCCGCCGCCGGGTGCCTTCCCTCGACCCATGGGCGCCTCCTGGCGCCGGGAGGCGCCAGGAGAACCGGCTGCGTGAGCTGATTCTCGGCCCTACCCTTTGCTATCCTACCCTTTCGCCCTCGCCCGACCCTGTCAGCCGAAAAGGTATGCGACCAAGAAACATCGGCGACAGAAATGGTGCGCGAGTTTGTAGCCCACACTGAAAATCACTTCAGCTTCGAACCAGCACTTTCGGTCACACCCTGGCGCGTACGGACAACTTCGGGCTCTTGTCTCGGTCACAATGGGGCGGATTGGAGAGGCTTTACGGCCGGTGCCGCCGACCCTGAAACACGACGAAGACGACGACGACGACGACGACGACGACGACGACGACGACGACGACGACGACGACGACGACGACGACGACGACGACGACGACGACGACGGCGACGGCGACGGCGACGACGACGACGACGATGAGCGCTCTCGGGGGCCTCTCGGGGGTAGTCTTCGAACCAGCACTTTCGGTCGCACCCTGGCGCTTTTGGACAAATTTGGTCGCCGGTTTCGGTCCCACTGGGGCAGATTTTGGGTACAGTTTCGATCACTACGCCGCCTGATAGAGACGAGGCTGCGTGTGGGTTGCGCAACGGCGAACGGCCACCAAGGAGAGAGCCCCGCGCAAAGAACCTCCGGAAGCCCCCCCCCCCCCCCCCAGAACCTCTCTGGGAGCCTTGGCGGGGCGCGTTTGGGGTCCTCGTGGACGGTCTTCGGGTAATCTTTGGCCGTCTTGGGGCCCTCTTGGGCGCTGTCTCGGGGCTCCTCGGGCCGTCTCTTGATGGACATGGGTTGCCTTGTAGCTTTTTAGGGGCGGCCATCTTCCTCGTTTTGGAGCCGCCTGCAAGCTGAAAAGGGCGTCGCGAGGCAAAACCAGTAGGGATGACATTTGAGTGTGTGCGCTACTAGAGGGGAAGACACATACCATAAGCCCTACCAGGCAACGGGCAATCATTCTAACACGCTCTGGCGGCGGATCTAGTAATGGTGCCACTAGTGAGCAGGTAACGTAACACGGACAGGTGATATTAGCGTGCGTGTCCTACTCGATACCACATCTACCCGTGCGTCACCCATGCTTGTTTTCGTGCTGCCAGAGTGCTTGCACATCAGCAGCTTGACGACATCAGTTGGGCGACGAAGGAAAAGGGGTTCGTCTTTACCGACATTCGCGCGTAAGCTGCGCGCGTAAGCGCCCTCGTCTCCAATGTGGCGTGCCGCGCTGGCGGCCCGCGGAAACCACCGCGTAAGGTCGCTATGCCATCTCGCTAAGACCCATTTGTTTTCGTCGCCAATTTGCTTTCGTTGAGCGTGAATGGGGGGCCTCTGAATATGAGTACCGACTGCGTGAACGCTTGCCCTGCTCTGTGTGCTTTTTCCTCTGGCCCCCTCTTCCTGGCGAGTGTAGGCTCACTAGGGTCTTCTCGCGCCTATCGATGCAGGACAGTCACGCGGGTGGTTGCAGTTGGAGAGTGAGAGAGAGAGCGATAGAGAAAGAAAGAGAGAGAGAGAGAGAGAGAGAAGAGAGAGAGAGAGAGAGAGCAACACATAAGTACATAAACAGCAATTTTCGGAGCTCCGCGCGAGTTTGTTGTATCTGCGCTGGACCCCCTCGGCGGCGCCTCCGCGCGCCATGGAGAGGGGGGGTTCAGCGCAGATAGAAGAGACCCGCGCGGACCGTCGAACGTTTCTGTTTCTTTTGTTGGTTCCCTCTTTTCAGCGAGAGGGGGAGGCAGAGACACAGACAGAGACAGAGACGGAAATCGAGAGAGGGAAAGAGAGAGAGAGAGAGAGAGAGACAAACCGCCTCCGAGAGGACCACGCCGATTGCGCCCGCTTCCTGGTGATGAAGGGCGCCAGCACGGAGCTCCAGACCGCCCAAGGCGCGGCGATGCGGTGCGGTCTCTTCCGACCCCGCCTGCTCCGACACTTTAGGGGGGCCTCTAACATTGGGCTCTGTTTGAATTATTGAATCGCTTCGCTCATTCCGCCGGCCCATACGGTCTCATGTCTGCCGTTTGCCCGAGGGCCTGGTGTCAATGCGGCGCTTTGGGGGTTCCTGGGGCCGCTTGGGGGACTCCTGGGGCGCTCGGGGGGGCATTTGGGGGGCCTCCTGGGGCCGCTTGGGGGACTCTTGGGGGCCTCCTGAGGGCCTCGTGGGGGCCTCTTGGGGCCTCTTAGGGGCCTCTTGGGGCCTCGTAGGGGCTTCTTAGGGCCGAGGGCGCGAAATTTTGTTTCGTGTTCCCTCTCTGGGGCCCCTTTGGGGGTGTTCTTGGGGCCCTCTTGGACCGTCTTGGAGGCTTCTTGGGCCGTCTTCGAGCCCTCTTGGGCCATCTTGGGGCCCTCTTGGGGGCCTCTTGGGCCCTCTTGGGGCGATCTTGGGGGCCTCTGGGGCCGTCTTGGGGCGTCGGGAACCGAAAAGGTGGAAGCTCCAAAATCTCTCAAAAACCTAAGGAAAAACAATGAATTTTGCCTCCGGGGGCCCTCTTGGGAGTGCTCTGGGAGGCCTCTTGGGGCGTCTGGGGGCTATCTTGGGCGTCTTGGAGCGATCTTGTGGCATGTCGGACCCCTCGTGTACCATCTTGGGGGCCTCTTGGGGGCCTCTTGGCCTTTCTTGGGGCTCTCGGGGACGTCTCGGAGCCCTGTTGGTGCGCTCATGGAGCGCTCCTGGAGCGCTCTGGGGGACTCCTCCCGGGACTCTCTCAGGACCTTGCCGGGGTACTTTTCGTCCGGGGACCCCCCAGGGGCCGCCCCGCGCGCGCGAACTAGAGAATTCTTAACCAGTTACCGGAGATCTTAGCACGCCTCTGGCCCGTTGGGCCGGCGAATTGTTGCGCGGGTTTTCTTCCCCGCCCTCGTCCTCGCCGTTCTCTTCCTCCTCCACAATCTCCTGTACTGCTGGCGTGCGTGGCCAGACCGGAGGTTCTGGCTCCTCTTGTTGTGCATGCGCGCGTTCATGTGATTTGTAATCGATGTGCCGTCTAGGCACGGTTCTTGTCTGTCTGTGGCATCTTCGGTTCATATCGGGGCTCTTCTTGCCCGTTTGGGTGGACTTCGTCAGGCAGGCCTTGGATGAGTACAAATCGATCTCGGAGCGCTCCAGGACGCTCGCAGGGCGTTCCGGAACGCCCTGGAACAGTTGCAGCGCCCGATACATCCTCCAGACCCGCCACATCTCAGAGGTTCTCGATGTATCCTCATCCTAACTTGTCCTCGTCCTCCCTTCGAGGGCCTGGGGTCTGTCTGGGGGCCTCGTGGGACCACCGATGTCTTGGGGCTGGCTCGGGGCGGTGGCGGCCGACGGCGGCCGGGGGGGGGACGAACGACGACGGGGCGAGGAGAGGAACACGTAGGGTTCCGAACACCAGGGCGCAGCGGTGCCAGGACATGCGCGGGCTCCTCCTCGCGCTCCTCGCCCCTTCGCCCACATCCCCGCTGGCCCCCCCCCCCCCCCTCTCCTCTCCTCCACCCCTCCCTTTTTTCTCGCTGTTCCATCCTGTCTCCTTACGAATGACTTCTCCCTGGCGCACCCCTAGGCGTGTCTGTAGGGCGGGCTGGGCGTTTCGCCTGAGACTTCCTCACCAGTTATGATTCTGAAGCTAAGAATTTGGAACAGTTTCACGGATGGAGGGTGGGTCGTTTTTTGAATGTGGTTCTCGCTTTTGTGCCGCGCGCATTCGCTTAAATGTGTGCGATAGTTTCATGGATGGAGGGCGGGACGTGTTCAGCATGTGGCTCTCGCCTCAGCGCCGTGTGCATTCGTTCATGTTAGATGCTCGCAAGAGTTTCACGGATGGAAGGCGAGCCGTTTTTCAAATATAGTTATCGCCCTAGCGTCGCGAGCATTCGTCTTAAATTATGGAAGAGCTTCGCGGATGGAGGGCGGTTCCTTTTCAAATTGTGGCTCTTGCTTTAGCGCCGCGCACAGTCGTTTCTGAGTTTACAGCAGTTGCACGGGTTCTTACGGTGGACGTCCCAGACATGATATTTCGGACTGTCAGGGCGCAGCAGTTTCGTTGGTTCGCGGTGTTGACGTCCCAGGACTTGTGTTCAGGCACGACTCAGGGTCGTCAGGACGCGGCAGTAAGGTTGATTCGCGGCGTTGCAGTTCCAGGAATTGTGTTGTGGCATGGTTCAGGATTTTCGGGCGGTTGTGTTCCAATGGGGCACTTCCTTCAGAGATAACATATCTTTGTAGGGACCTATGAAGAGGGAGCTTCGATGGAGGGTTTAATGCAACATCGTTCGTGGGTCTTGGGTTTGCATTGGCCCTCCTTTTCTTCCTTCTCCTCCTCCTCTTCGGGGGACTTGGGGAAGGAGGAAGAGGATGAGAAGGGACCGAATGGACCGAATTGACCGAAGGGACCGACCATGCGATGCATGCTCCTGACTCCTCGGCCCGAAGGTCCGCCGCGAGAGGGGGAAGAACCGCCCAGGCACCAGGCGACCGCACGACCGAAAGAGGCTCGTGGGCCCGAGCCAGACCCAGAGGGCCCAGCAAACAAAACCACACCAGGCCAGAGAATGCCCAGCCCCACGCCAGGCCAAAAAAAGGCGAGGATGAGGGGGACGCGGGGAAGCAGAAGGAGGGGGAGGAGGGGAAGCAGGACGAGGATGAGGAGGAGGATGGGGAGGAGGAGGAGGAGGAGGAGGAGGAAGAGGATTAGGGGGGAGGAGGAGGATGAGGAGGAGGAGGAGGAGGAGGAGGAGGAGGAGGAGGAGGGAAGAGGAGGAGGAGGAAGAGGCTGGGCCCCTCGTTGGAAGGCCAGACCGCCCTGGACATCTGCAAGTCCCCCGAGCTCAGGCGCGACCTCACTGGCGACGCGGCGGCGGCCAGCGCGGCTGACGAAGGCGGGCCTGGGCGCGCTCTTCGTCGAGAGCCTTCGGGGGGGGGGGGCCGATACGTCACGACAGGCCGCCGGAGGCCCGAGCTATGGCCCGGCAACCACCAGGCGTCGAAGAGAGGGGGGGAGCGAGGACAAGGTGTCTGTGGATATCATGGCCTGAGCCATGAAGTCTCTCAGGCGTCCTGGCCCCGTTTTTTGTTCGACGCGCCCCCTGGGCCCCGCTCGTCCGCGAATACGCCTCGGGTCAGGACGCGCTGACCCCCCTCTTCCTGGCCTCCTTCTTCGGCGCACCCGATACCATTTTCACAATCACAATTTGCTACTGGTAACTGTTACCTCTTACTATCAATATTACTACGACTGGTACGAGTACGACGACGACTCATACTACTACTCCACTTCGACTACGACACTGCTTTTAGTATTACTTTTGCTGCTGCTACTGCTGCTACTTCTAATGCTGCCAGTACGAATACCGCTAGTACGACGTCGACTACGGCGACTACTACGGCTACTACGGCTACTGATCAAATTATTATTATTATTACTACGACTACTACTATCATTACCACTCCTGTTCTTACTACTGCTGCAACTGCTACTTCGACTACTGTGGCCAGGCATTGTTGCTTAGCGTGTCGCTCCGCGGGTTCTGGCCCACCACGCTTCGGCCGACACGCAAAGCACGTCCCAGTCCCTAACGATCAACGTTTTGAGTCAATCCCAGCCTCCCGCCCCACGAAGCAGAGCGACACGCTATAGAGTGCAAGGCACAACGTTTCTCAGGGGCCACCGCCGCGACACGCCACGTCTAGGCTCGACACACCATGACTACGATTATTGTTATTATTATTGTTATTATTATTATGAGTATCATTCTTATTACGATTCTTGTGAGTATTGCTACTACTCCTGCTGCTACGACTACTACTCAACTACTCAGCTATTACTACTACTACTACTACTCCTACTACTATCACTCCTATTTTTTATTATTACAACTACTACGACGGCGACGACGACTAGTACTCCTACCACCACTACCACTACCAGTACCACATCTACTACTACGACGACTACTACTACTACTACTTCTACGACGACTACTACTACTATTAGTATTACTATTACGACTACCACTGCTACTGCGATCTGTCAGGCTATTACTACCGGTACTACACTACTACTGCTGCTACGACTACGATTATTCCTGCTACTACTACAGCTGCTACTGCTACTACTACGACTACTTCGACTACTACTACGACTACTACTACTACTACTACCACTACTACTACTACTACTACTACTACTACTACTACTAGTACTACTACTACTACTACTACTACTACTACTCTACTACTACCACTACTACTACTACTACTACTACTACTACTACTACTACTACGCTACTACTACTACTACTCCTACTACTACTACTACTGCTACTACGAGTACTTACTACTACTACTACTACTACTACTACTACTACTACTACTACTACTACTACTACTACTACTACTACTACTACTACTACTACTACTACTACTACTACTACTACTACTACTACTACTACACTACTACTACTACTACTACTACTACTACTACTACTACTACTACTACTACTACTACTACTACTACTACTACTACTGCTACTACTACTACTGCTACTACTACTACTTCTACTACTACTACTACTACTACTACTACTACTACTACTACTACTACTACTACTACTACTACTACTACTACTACTACTACTACTACTACTACTACTACTACTACTACTACTACTACTACTACTACTACTACTACTACTACTACTACTACTACTACTACTACTAACTACTACTACTACTTACTATACTACTACTACTACTAGACGATACTACTACTACTACTACTACTACTACTACTTACTACTACTACTACTACTACTACTACTACTACGCGTAGTAGTAGTAGTAGTAGTAGTAGTAAGTAGTAGTAGTAGTAGTAGTAGTAGTACGACGACGACGACGACGACGACGACGACGACGACGACGACGACGACGACGACGACGACGACGACGACGACGACGACGACGACGACGACGACGACTACCTACTACGACGACGACGACGACGACGACGACGACGACGACGACGACGACGACGACGACGACGACGACGACGACGACGACGACGACGACGACGACGACGACTACCTACTACGACGACTACTACTATTATAACTAATGTTACTCCTGCTACTACGCTGCTACTGCTGCTGAGGCCGACGAGCCAGTCATGCTGCCATCGTTCCTTCGTGGTGCCGCCCCAGGGGCTGTTATCATCCAAGCGTGGCCTCGGAGGCCCGCCAGGCGCAGCGAGCCGTTCCTGGGCGAGAAGCATTCCGACGGCCCCCTTTTCAGGGGCAACGTCAGGTTCTTCCCCCAGGGACAACGCTGCGGAGGGGGCAGGCTCAGATCGTTCGAGGTTCGTGTATCGAGGTATGCGGATGTTCTTGTCGGTTCTCGCCTCGGCTCCTGGGCTGGTTTCTCCGAGGATCCAGGAGGGGCAACAGCGAGGAAGAGGGAGGAGGGCCTCCAACCTGCTCCCTCTTCGTCGTAGCCAGACAAGCTGGTTTCGGGTGGCTTCGATGGTTCACGGCGGTTTCCCAGCCTCGGGATGCTCACCAGCAGCTGCGCCTCGCCGAGAGCCTTCTGGGGCTGCCCGGATTGCCCCGAACAGCCGTGGGAGAGCCGAGGTGCGCGACGCAGTCTGCCGGGGAGGGGGACAGGCTCCGGGGAGAAGCCTCGACCCCCAATCGCCCACGGATCGCCGACGGGCCCGACAGCCCGGCCCGCCCAGGACCATGCGGCATTGCTACCGGGGGCCTGTCGCCGACAGAGCGGCCCCTTAGATCGCCAAGGCACGCTCGATGCTGTCTGTTCCCCTCGAGCTGGCCTCCTCCTGGCGTTGCCCCTCACCCTCGGGAGGCTCGAATGCGAGCGGCACGCCAGGGAAGGGGACGGGGAGCGGCCCCCGCCGGGACACCTCCAGATCTCCGACGTCGCGATTCTTGCCCAACGCGGACCGGTGGCCCCCGCCAGGACATCCCCAGATCTCCGACGTCGTGACTTTTTCCACAGCAGCGCAGACACTGTTTTCCCCCCTCGGGTCGTTTTTCGACGCTCGTGAGGCTTTGTCGGGGCCCCTGGAAGCCAGAAGCTGCCAAGAACTTCCTGTTGCGATGTTTTCGCAACGAGAGGAGGTGGGGGTCCCACCTAAGCGACGCAGAAAACTGGTTCCGCTTGCGCGGACATTCGCGCGCAAGCTGCCGGCGTGAGGTCGCTCGGAGGCGACCTCGTTTCCAATGTAGGCTGCCGCGCAGGCGGCCGCGTAAGCCACCACGTAAGGGCGCTATGCCGTCTTGCTTAAGTCGTGGGCCCCGAAACCGTGTGGTGGCGGGCCGCGCGGTGCCCCCGAAGTCTTCGGGGGGCTTCACCGCGCGGTCCGTCTCCGCTCGGTCTTGGAGCCGCGGAGCCTCGGTCGCCCGAGACGTCCTCGGAGACAGACCCGAGTCCCAGTCCTGTGCGGTGACCCCGGGCCCCCACTGACTCACCACGCGGCTTGGTCACTGCACCGTTTGCTTGGCATCGCTCGGGCGTGTGCAGTTTTGGGGGGGCGAGGACCCTCGAGGAGCAGCGTGGATCACCGAGCCAAAAAACAAAAAAAAACATGCACGGGGAAGGGGCACCCGAGCGATGGCAAGTTTGGGGGGCTTCCGAGTGAGAGCGCCGTGTCTCTTCGTCGCCCGCCTTAAAAAGGAACAAGCAATGACATGAACATTAACAACTCGGAGGTCCGCGCGGACTTCTCGGATCGGAGCTGGAGCCCCCCAGCGGCGCTTCCGGCGCCGCCCCTGGCGCGCTCCGCGCGCCGGGGAGGGGGGTCCAGCGCCGATCCGAGAAATCTGCGCGGACCTCCGAGTTGTTATGTTTACAGTCTGGGCGTTGACCTAAGGAACCCTAAATAAGGAACGAGGCCCCTTTTTTCCATAAGTTCAACTTCGATTTCCCGTGGAAAACCTCAGGAAAACCTAAGGCAAGCTGCGAAACACTTGAGGAACACGGAGCCCCTCCCCAACGAAAAGGGTTCCTTCTTCTTCAGGGCCCCGACTGTATGTCATTGTTCGTCCCCCTACGCTTGGCGGTCCGCCCCGTGACCCGCCAGGCGAGCCCCCGGCCAAGAGGCGCGCTGTGGCAGCCGCCGACGGCGCGGCGGGGCGGGGCGGCGCGGCGGCGGCCGCCGCGCGGCCGGAGCCCGCCGCGGAAGCAGCGCCGGTGGCCCGGCGGGCCCTGGGCAGCAGGAGCACGTCGGTCGGCCACGCACAACTTGGGCCGGACGAAAGGGGGGGAAAGGGGGGGTTACGAAATCTGCTGCGTGCAGCTGGTTTCGGCCCCACCGAGGGGCCCAGTCCTCGATACATAGCCGCCTCCGGCGCCGGGAGGCGCCGGGCAAATCAGCTACGTGAGCTGATTCTCACCCCCCCCCTTTGCTGTCCCCCCCCTTTCGCCCGACACGAACAACTCACGTTGCCCGTTGCTCGGCGGTTCATCGGCTTTCTCGGGTTCCTCGGGTTCCTCCTTTTTATTGTCAGGCTGCCCTTTTCCCGGAGGTTCTGCGGGTTCTGCGGGTTCCTCGGGTTCCCCGCCCCTGGTACCTCCTATTGTTACGTTTCCCGTTCCTCGGAGGTTCCTCGGGTTTCCTGGGTTCCTCGGGTTCCCTGGGTTCCTCGGTTCACCGCACCCGGTTGTACTAAACAATGTTAAGCAGCAATGCCAAGCAATGCCAAGCAATGCCAAGCAAGGCTAAGCACTGCCAAGCGATGCCGAGCGATGCCAAGCAATGCCAACCCATGCGAAGCAGAGCCAAGCAATGCCGAGCGATGCCAAGCGATGCCAAGCAATGCCAAGCAGTGCCAAGCAGTGCCAAGCAGTGCTGGGCAAGGCCAGGCAA